CCCTGCCTGCGCCCATCCTCCCACCGCTCCCTCGCCCAGCCCGCACGTGGGGCTGCCGTGGTCCCGCGGGGGAAACGACGGCGAAGCGGGGACAAAGCCCGCAGGCACGGCTGCCTCCCCACCCGGCACGGCAGCAGCTTCTCAGCTAGCAGCAGCGGGGAGGCGAGCCTGCTCGCCCTGGGAAGGCAGCTTACTAATGAGTGCCGTGACCCCAATGGCAGACGAGGCACGCGGTGCTATTAGCACTAATTCACTGTGCGAAAACAGAGAGGGGCTGGGGAGGGGGCAGACGCAGCAGGGAGAAAGCCAGCGGGCGGGGAGGGAGGGAAGAAGGCACGCTCGGCAGTAAGGAGATTATGGCCAATTTCTGCAAGGTGCCTGCATCCGCTGCCGCTGCAAAGCTCAGCTTCTCTCCGGCGCCTCCGACCTCACATCCCAAGTGGCACAGAAAATCAGGAGAGGAGCCACAGGGATGGGGCTGCCTGGCAGGAGCTGCTTGCAGTCACCCTGTCTGGGCCATCACCGTGGCCTCAGACCTCTCCAGCTGGAGAAGAGTTGCCCCCGAGCACCTCAGTGGTGCTCTTGGGGCAGCACAGCTGCAGGGACAGGACAGGGCCATGGGGGAGTAGGGCACGAGCCCTGTGCGGCCACCAGCCCTCTCCTCACTGGCCACGCTGCGGTGGCGAGCACGCAGGCACCGTGCTGGCGTCAGCCAGTTATTAACGTGGCTGCTCCCCGGCTCTATCACCCCGGCGAGGGCCCCGACATGCTGAGCTTCTCAGCAGCTCCTGCCAGAGTGGCGAGGGGAGGAGAAACCAAGCGGAGAGGGCCAAGCTGGCACGGTGCCGGTGGTCCCTGTCCCCAGGGCTGTCAGCGGGTCCCTCTGAGCAGCTGCAGGGCAGCGGCGTTGCCTGCAGCCAGCCAGGCTGTGGCCAAGGTGTCCCTGTGAGGGCAGCCACGCCAGGGCACCCCACACCTCCCTCGGCAGTAGCCCCAGGCCTCATCCTGCGCAGGCAGCGCTGCCTGGCAGCCGCTCCATGCCCAGCAGCCCCCACCCCCTTGTCAGGCCCTGCAGCTGAGCAGGGAAGCGCAGAAAAGCCATCGTCTTACCGCTCAACGATGTCTGCGATGGTGCAGGCAAACATGAGGAGCCCTTCCGGCATCTGCAGGGCCACTGGGAAGAGAAACAGCCCCGGGGTTAGGAGGGGCTGGAGGGGACAACCCAAAACAGGGACCTGGGCATCAATGGCCGAGGTCAACGTGTCCAGCTCGAGCGGCAGCCGCAGGAAGGACCCTTCCCAAACTGGCCAAAACTCCCGGTGGCTCTGGCAGCAGACGTGCATGTGATCCTGCCTCGGGCCGTATCCGTTCTCCCTACTCACACCTGGCCACCGTGCCCACACCTCATCCCTTTTCGAACCCGCTGACACTGCTGGTCTCTGCTGCTTCCCGCAGTAATGAGTTCCAGATTTTAATTATGTGCTGCACAGGAAAAGGTACTTTCTTCTGTTTATTTTAAACCTGCTCCTAATAATGTAAACGCGTGCCCCTGGTTCTCCCACTACAAGAAAAAGTGAATAATCATCCCCTATTCAGCCTCTCCACACCATTCACAATTCCGTATCCCTCTATCATATCCCCCTTCATTCACCTCTTTTCCTGCTAAAGGATCTAAATCTATTTAATCTCTCCTTGTACAGTAGCTGTTCCAAACCTTTGATCGTCCTCGCTGCCCTTCTCTGCACCTCCCCTCTCTGCTTCTTTCCCCGTTTCAGGAGGGTGGCCAGCAACACCGCAGCATTGTGCCTACCAGGAATTTATTCATCAACGAATGATGTTTCCTGGTGTGCTCCCTCCTCACAGCTTGAAACAATCTCTTTGTCTCTGCAGCCCAGCTGGGGCTCCCAGTGCCTGGGGTCCAGCCAGAAACCTCCCGTGGATCCCCACAAGCTGCTCCAGGGAGGTGGGGAGGAGCAGGGACGATGTTAGGGGAGACGAATGGAGGAGGCTCCATTAATCCCACTGTCCTTTCACTTCCTGATCCCACCAAGACATCCCAGCTTCAGCAACATTTATCCAAACATCCTCCCCAGACCCCACTCCAACAGAAATCCCCATGCAGCCAAGTCTAGCCCACTAGCCAGCATGGGGTTGTGTAAAGACCTGGCCCAAACTGCACTAATCTCACCCTGCTCCCAAGGCAGGGCCAAAGGAAAGCTGCATGTGATCTGGCAGGGCTGGGCAGGTCAGGGTCCCAGCACCCCCCAGCCCGTTTGGGACTGTCCTCAACCCCAGACTGCCACCAACAAGCAGACCTGCAAACAGCTTTGCCTCTCCCAGCGAGGTGTTGGCAGGAGGCAGCTGGGTCACTCTCTGCCAGTACAGCACTACGGGGACAGGGGATGACATCCCAGCCCCCCTAAACCCCACAGCAGACAGAGTGCAGGCAGGGCTGGCTGCAGCCCGGCAGGAGGCTGCGTTCCCCCAGCAACGAGCCCCTGGCTGGGCTCGGCACGCGTAGATTTTTAAATCCCAGCACGGCTGGCTGGCTGATGGGCTCGGCTCCCAGCTCTGAAGCCTAAATCCCAGCCGCATATTTACATTTAATTAGGAGGTGCTAAGCAGCAAAACACAGCAACGAAAGCCAGAGCGGCACGGCTGGGCAGCCTCGACACGTCCTGATGGGCAGCCCTGCCTCACGCACCGCAACCAGGTCGCATCGGACAGCCCCACAGCCTCCAGCCCCTCAGCGTCACGGCCAGGGCCAGCTCAGGCAGCACCTCCCAGAACATCCCCCGTGACGCCTGCCAGCTCCTGCAAGCTCGGAGGCAGGAGGCAGAGACATTTCCAGGTGGACACAACACTCAAATCTGGCTCTGCCCGGAGCCCCTGGTGCCACACAACCCCATGAGTGGCCCCTGACTGCGTGTGAAGTGAGGAGAGGGATGTTGGTGACACCCGGAGATGGAGGGGGAGGCTCTATGTCCTGAAGCTGATCACAGGCCACGAGCTGGTTCAGCCACAGCAGGATGCACGTGCTGAGGGGGGGACAGCCCTGGCACCACCCCACAGCACCACAGTGCCTGCTCCGGGGCCACCACAGCCACTCCCTACCCCACCAGGGCTACAGTAACCTCCCGAGGACCCTTACAAAGGTTCAGATCTGATCTAGTCCAGCTTCCAGCCTCTCCAGTTCCCTGGAGCTGGGTGTTGTGGGGCTCCCCCTGCCCAGCCCCGGCAGCGTGGCAGGAAGGCACAGGTCGAGAGGAGAGCAGCAGAGACCTGGCCAGCATCCCAGACACATCTCACAGGCTGACAGGTCCGTGCAGCTCAACCTCTCCTGTCTGATGCGATTATAATCCAGAGATACAGATCTATTAACCCACCTCGAGGGAAAGAGAGCTCGCCAAGACAGAGTCGAAACAGGCCAGGCAGCCAGCACCGTCCCTGCCCCAGCCTCACCAGCCCTGCACCCCGGCCCAAGAGGGTCCCCTCGCCACCAGGGAGCTCAGCAGCACCGACCCACCACACGCTGCAGCCCCAAAACCCCTCATCCCCTGGGCCAGCGCTCACCCTTCTTGGCTTGAGCCTGCCGAATCCGCCAGATGGTCTTGGGGATTTCAAAGTTGTAGTTTCGGGGCAGGGCCTCCGCCGCCTCCCGCAGCTCTGTGTTACCGAGGATCTCCTCGGGGATCTGCTGCGCTGCTCGCCGTGCAGGGCCTCGGGCTACAGGACAAACGGGGCGGCCTAAAGAAGCGACCGAGAGGGCAACGCACCCCGTACCCCACAGGTCACCAGCATCCTCGCTGCCCTCACACCACCCCTGAGGACAAGCAGGCAGAAGGGGGTGGGTTTCCACCCTTCACACCGGGGGGGAGGTTGCTGGCACTTCTAGGGGGAAAATACTTTTTTGTTGTTGTTTTTTACCCCAGAAAGCACCCCTGTAACTAAGTGAAATGCTCTAAGTGGCGTTGGCTTCCCCCAAGCCGTGGGGACACCAAGCATAACCCCACCCCGGCTCACCCACAAGCACCCCGAGGGCACCCTCGCGAGTCCCTCCTGCCCCATCAAGGGGATCCCGTTATCCCAGCGGGGAAAAGGCAACAGCAGCGGGTGAGCCAGGCCCGTCCCCGGCAGCCTCATCCTGAAGCCGGCCCCCGCCAGCAACCGCCCCCCTACAGCTCGGCGAAGCCGGAGAGCAGCGGGGGAGTGACAGCAGGGGGATTATTCACTATTTCCAGCCCAACACCGGCACTCATGAGCCACCAAACCCTCCCCGCACGGCCCACGGTCGAACCGTCAAAGGGCCAGCTGGGCCGGCCCGGCCTCCCCCGCCACCGGCCCGGCCTCCCCCGCTGAGGCAACCGAAATAGCGCCCGGTACCGGCACCGGTAACCCAGCGTTGACCCAGCCTCAGCCCACCTGCGGCGGGCACCGGGACCGCGCTCCCGCCCCTCACGGAGGCCGCCATGGCTCTGGAGCACGTGAAGGCGGGAAGGCAGCACTAAGCGAGCCCCGCGCTAGGCCAGAGCAGTCGCCGGCCGAAAGATCGAGTGTGGGAGCGCGCCGGCGGGCCCCGA